GCAGCTGCAGGCTTATATGTTGCAAATTTGGTAATCCCAGAATAAAGAGAGCTCTTCTGTCCTAGAAGTTTAGTAAAATTCCTGGAACTGATTCTCATGGTCCTGTTCATTCCTGAATCAGTCATTGTCACTCTGTCCATGGTAGGTTACATGCTATTCTGCACCCATGCCCCCAATACCATATTACCTGAGTATGCAATAGAGTAGCTCCTCAATAAAATGTGAGAATATGGTTTCCAGAAGAGGTGATAGATGTAGAAAGGCAGACACCACCGATGTATACTGTAATAGGATGTGGAATGAATTTACTCCAATATATAAAGTTTCATATATTGTTTATAGAATTTGTAATTAATACATACCCATACATCATTACTTTTAGTTTTGCATATCAGTCTTCTCTCCCACATCTAGATAGTAAAGCTCTCAAGGACAATACCCATCTTTAGATCTTTTGGAATCTCTAAAACCAAGCACAGTGCCTGCACATGGTAGGTACTGATAAATGTTTTATGAGTACCGCTGAAATGGTGATTTCCTTCTGGCAGCATGCTCGCTATTGTTGGTGGCAAATACTTCTGGAGTTACACCATCCAGTGTCAGTTGAGAATAAATGCACGCCCAGTCCATGTTTAATGAGCAAAATGAGAGCATCCAACCAGTATCCAGCAGTGTAGGGCTAGTGGGATGTGTGGACATAAATTTGGTGCATGCGAGCTATAGCCACAGAATGTGCTTTGTGGACTATAAAGGAAGAGAGAAAAAATTTTTAAATATTCTTCTTAATTCCAAAGACAGGCTGTAGTTCAAATACAATTTTGTTTTATGTCTTTAGTCAGCTGTTCCAAACGCCTTACTTCTTTGATGTCCAAACATTCAAGAGTATGGGGGAAAAAGTGACAGGAAAAAAATCCTCATAGAACTTCCTTCCTGTGACAGGTCAAAGTTTAATCACAGCAAATAATGTAGATTTCCCTTTTATTATAAGCACAATAGAAAGGCAGGGCTTGTGTTTCCAAAGCACGTTGTTTGGGAGACCTCTGTAAATCATAATCTTTGGAAATCCCAAATTTATTGGATGTAATCCCATCCATTAGATGAAGACAGCTTGCCTATGCAGTAGATCCAGAATAGCAAGTTAAATAGAGAACATGGACGGGAAGCAGTCATTAAGGATTACAATGGGTAGGATGCAGTGTTAATTCACGGAGATATTTTGTTATGAGATAATTACATCATCGGGACAGCTGGAAAGCTGAGTGCTGTGCTGGACCACAGTGCTTGCTCTCGGCCCTGCAGCTGGGGGTCAGGACAATAGAGACAGCAAGAGAATTGCTTTGTGGGATAGTGAGGGGCTTGGCGGACTTAATTGTGACATGCTAACCTATCTGCCTCTTTTTGGATTGCGTTTTCACAGCTAAACTGGATTCATAGGCTCATTAAGTGGTGAGAACCCCTTCTCACTTCTACTTTTTGAACATTCACTTGGGTCGCATTAAGCTAAGCTCTCTAATGGATAAATATTGAATGGCAGTTTTCATTTCCTCCAAAAGTAATCTGAGATATTGTTCATAGTCAACACAGTGTGATTTTATTTCTCTTACGGAACTGCAGTCATGCAGTCACTGAAATGGTATTTTTGTCAGTTTACTGAAGAGCAAAAAAAAAAGTTTTAAAAAGTCTTGAGATGTCGGTCAACATAAGGAATCATACAGTCAAAGTTATTTTCCAGTGTTTATGTTCAAATGTTCAGACCTGTCTGGCCTTTTGTTTTGCAAGTATAGGGGTTCTAGGCAGCCTGGCCACATTCCTCACTGATTTATATAAATATATTACAGATCATTAACCTCTTGCCAAATATCAGGGATTTCAGTTCTTCAGTAGCTCAGTTACTTTATGTGAGATTTGCATCTATCTTCTTTCTTTCCCACCAAAGTGACTATTATTGAATTTGGGATATTCTAGAGGGAGACATTTTAGATGAAAAAGCATCATATATATATTATGTTCTAAAATTCTTACGATTAATATTTTTAACTGTTGATTCAAATGGCATTTTTCTACCCATTATGACTAATATAACTTAATTTTTACTCAGATAATGTTTGCTAAACAATTAAGTCAAACTGAGTTTCTTATTTTAGTGTAGAGCAGCATTTGCCAAAATGGAGTACTAAGCCTATGGGATGTTGATATCCAGCATTAGAACCAAAAAGGGGATTACCTGCAGGTCCTCCTAGGACTTTAATTTTCCCTCAGGTCACTTGTGAAGTTTGAAAGAGAATGTAATACGCTCCATTTCCCAAATAATCTTAATAATGCCACCTTTAAAAAGGGATTATCTCCTTGAACCAGCATGAGCCCCTTTGACCTCACACCATTCTTTTTATAGCCTAGAATATATTATTATATACATTACAATTCATATAAGAAGATTCTACTCTGTGCACTGTGACACAATTCTTTAAAAATTCCACTTTTTAAAAATTTCCACTTAAAATTAGGGCCTTTCAAATTGGTAGTTACAAAATAGTCACGGGGACATAAAGTACAGCACAGGGAATACAGTCGATAATATTGTAATAACTACGTAAAGGTGCCAGGTGGGTACTTGAAATATCAGGGGAAACATTTGTGAAGTATATGAATGTCTAGTCACTATGCTGTACACCTGAAACTAATACAGAATAATATTGTCAATTGTAATGGAACAATAAAACTTAAAAAATTAATAAAACAAAATTAAGGCCTTGTCTCAAAACGGTGAGTCTTAATATTTTGAAGAAAGTGATATAACTTAGAAGAAAAGAACTTGGGTGGGTTGGATGTTATTCTTGAATTGTGTCATACAAAGAGTGTTTGAAACGGTTTCTCGGGATGAAGCAACAGCACACTGCCGCTGCTGTTAGGTAACCTAACGGCTTGAGAGCAGGTGACCGGCTCAGCAGTGTTTTAGGATCACTTCGTTCCCCAGTTACATCCCAGTCAAACTTTTCTTTTCCTTTTGGAAGTGACTAAAATGTCTTGGGTATTAACTCTAAGTGTAGTAAGAACTAGAGTTACTAAAATCATTGCCGACCCGAGGCAGTGATAAGCGCTGTGTATTAATTATAATGGAAAACATATTTAAAGTAACATTTAAGAAGCACAGCTGCAGTGGTGCAGTCCCCATGTTTGTGCTTGATTTTAGACATACGATCTTCGGTTCCTTGCTGCTTTATTTTATTACAAAAGTAGCGGCAACGGATAGGAAGAAGTTCAGTGACTGTGGAACTCCTCTTTCTTCAAAAGGAAGCAAAAAGTGAAGCTGTTAAAGTATGTGGGAGAAGAGGAAAAGGGGTTCACAGGAGCCCATGAATAAATGGTAGTTGCTTCAGTTACCAAATATAAAGAGTTGTTTTGATAAACAGCCCCGGTGTCAGGTCCATGCATAATAGCAATCATATTTTTCATAGTATGGCACTCAGGTGACTTGGTACTAGCTCTAATAAATTTACTAACCAGGAGTTTTTACTTTATTAGAACAATATTCCAGAATAAGTCACATTGGAAGACTTTAGAATTTAGAAAAAAATAACTTTGGAAGTAGATGATTAAAACTTGAGCAGTTGGGATATTTGGAAGTAGATAAAGGTGAGGAAGAAATTCAGACGATCTTAACTTATTTTAATGGAGTTGTAGAACTCACCCCAAACTGCCCATAATGAAAAAGCAGTTTGAATCTGGCTGTGAAATGTGTGTGGTTGGTGGCGGTATTGTTCACCCCACTAGATTTAACTTAATTATAGTGTTCTTTAGTTTCTCTTAACGTTCAGTTTAGCTTCACAGAGAAGCACCAATGTTGTGGGGCCCATATAGCCTAGAAATGCGGTCGGGATGGTATGGTGAACCATCCAGGCATTAAAAATTTCACAGAGATAATACACAAAGTGGATAATTGAGAATCAACCCTGCATTTTAGTAATTGGGTTATGTGCACATTTATAGTCTCTTTGAAGAGTGTTATTAAATTTTTTAAATGAAAGAAAATAATATGAATAGCATTTTATTAGCCTTTTCTTAGTGTTTCTGTTGCAGTCTTGTCAAGAAATTTACTTACAGCTTGTTGATGAGTGCTTTGTTTAATTCTTCAAACATTTGGCAAACATCTCATGTACCAGATAGTGTGCTGTGTATGGCTGAAATTAAAGGAAAATTTGTCCTTTGACTTGAAGATTGTTTTGCTACTGAAAACTTTGTTTTTGAAACTTGAATTTTGAATTGGCTCTAGGATTTTATGAAAGAAATTGAATTCGCCCATCTGAACTTGGTAGTCCAGTTGGTTAGTCTCCCTTCATCATTTAAGGGTGACGTAGTTTACCAATGCAGTTTCTCCCCCCAGCCCCCGAAAAATAAAGTTTGAATTTTACAGTTTTGATTAGCATGATAGTTGGAATTTTAAAACTAAGAATTTATACCCTTTCTAGGGATCACCAGGATGAGAAGGCTCTCCTAGAAATAAACCAGATTTCTCCATATTCCGTCCTACTTATTTTCACGGGCATGATTGTTAACACCTTAAATTCCGGGAAAAACTTCATTGCCAAGTCCAGCATCCAAAGAATGCTCCGTCGGTCTTTTTAATAATACTCGAACTGTGAGCTAAGAAGAACCATCTTTTTCCTAGGCTGCAGGTTTTGAAACTCTCTTCATCAGCATGTTCTACCTAAGGTCCTAAATAAGGAAACACTCCACGCAGATATTTTCATGCTCTGGTCCTGTTCCTTTCTCTTTGCTGCTATGCATTTCGTCACCCCTTAGCCAAGTGCTCCTCTCCTGAACTTTCATGTTGATATTCAAGTGTTAGGTCCTTTTAGGTATCCTTACGTATTATCACAAGGAATGGTCAACACTGGCCTTTTTTTTATTACTATTTGATCAAATTGAAGGACATGTGTAAGACACACAGGTTACTTCTTTGCTTATTGCCACCTACTTAATATCTTTCTTTTTTCTTTTAGGTTATTTGATGTGTGCACGGTGTCACGAACAGACAGAGAAACTAAGCTAACATTAGTGTTTGAACATGTTGATCAAGACTTGACCACTTATTTGAATAAAGTTCCAGAGCCTGGAGTGCCCACTGAAACCATAAAGGTACCAAGAATGATCTTTCTGCCTGGTCAAACAGTCACACTCTTATAGTCTGTTAAGCAATGATATTCTTTCCTTATGAAAATTGCCAGAATTAGAGCTTTTGTAACTCAGTGTATAGGTAAATATATTTAATATAGCTAAGTGGGATGTGTACAAAATAGGATATATTCTAGTTCATTAATTTTAGGGCTCAGTGGAAAATCCTTTAGTTCTAATACATTTATTGGAAAATATCTATTCATACATTACCTGGCTCTTACCTTGGAAAGTATAGTGTAGTAAATACATCTCAGTCTTTTGCTGATGTTCATGGACTCTGAGAGATACAGTTTGAAGCCTCATTTATGAGCACATTGAATATTATACTTGTACACTGGCTCCAGGACATACCCACGCTATGTAAATCTGAAATACTGGTGTCAGGCCCTTCGTTATCCATTATTTCTCAGTAATAAAATAATTACAGGAAGCCAAGTGCCAGATACTGTCCCAAACCCTAGGGATTCAAAGATGACTTCAGATTTTTTTGGAGTCAGCAAACTAAATGCAGTGGACTGATTAGAAATTTTTCTTCCTTTAAGTCTGACGGAAAGAGCTACTTAGAAAGTTTTGTTGGACTGTCTTCATTCTGCTTAATTGAACTTCCCAGCAGATCTTTTACGTGCAGGCCTTCAGGAAGACCCTTTTGTTTTTGTGAATTATGTGACTTAATTAAATAGACTCCTTCTCTTATCATTCACTATTTAGAAATGAGTTGTATCATTTTTATAGGAATAAATAGATGAAAATAGTTTCTCTCCTAAACAGAGTAAGAAATGTCTTTTAGTGGTAGCTGGTGGTATTCCCAGATACTGACATGTCGAACTTTATTTACTCCTTTGATTTTAGTCTAATGCAGAATTTTTTTTCTCCCGTCTGCCTTTCATAAAGAATATGGATCTCAGTAATGGTCTCATTTCTTTCTGAGCGGTTTCAAGGACATTAAATGCCTTTAAATGTAGGTATCCTGACCGCCTGTTCTTGGTTTTCTTCTATCTCTGCACCTGTCTTTCCTCTCACATTCTATTCCAGTGGTTTTAATTCTCTCCTTTTTGAGTTTGTCCAAAACCCCAGTTCAGCACGCCAGGGTCAGAGCAGGGCCCCTTTTCACATACTCTGTTTTTTGGGTTCACATTGGACTAATCCTGTTTCCCTTAGGGTGACTCATAATTTCCTGTTTCTGTGGCCCTTCTTATTGCCACTTCTTTGCTCCCCCATCCAATAATCACTGCTTAAAATTGTCAAGGTCCACCTCAGATATCATTTGATAACTTTTATAGCTGGATGCAACCTTGTTTGTCTTACAGCCCTTGTTCTACATATCTCTCCCTCTTTATCATGTTTTTTACCTTTAATTGTGATTATTTATGTCCATATCTTTTTTACCTACTCATTTTTGTATACTGATGGTCCCTACACAATGATTTATACTCCTAGGTACTCAATAAATAAGGTAGATTGCCAACCAACAGCATAAGCATAGTCTGACAAAATAATCATTGGCTTCTTCTGATATATTTATGAGTCCAAATTTTTTGTTTCAGGGAGGTCATATTTTTTCAAACAGCAGGAGAAGGTAACCATAGATTTATACCATGCATTGCCACCTGCAGAGATCTTTTGAGCTTCACATTGAATTCTCCTAGGATGTTAGAGGCTGCTAAGTTTCAGAATTGTTTGGAAAAGCCTCTGTAGTTAAAATGATTGATAAGCCAGAGTGGAGTTAAACTAAGGCTTCATCTGGCAGAAATAGAAATGCAGTGAGGTGAGGGGAATTCTCGAGGGAGGGAGGGAGAGGTAAGCAGGATAAAATGAGGAACAGACAGAAGGGCACTGACCAAAGTGAGATAGAGGAGAGGAGAGGAGAGGAGTGGCGAAGTGACCTGGCAAGGGTTGATTGGGGGGCAGGGGATGGTGCTTCTCACCAGAAGCTTTTGACAAGGTGACTTTTTAAAAGTATTTCTGAGTTTTTCATCTCTCTCCAGGGAAAGGGAATGTCATTTCGTTTTGTGTTGAACAGGAGATTTCCCCAGAGGCTGTTAAAATTTCTTCAGCCATCAGGGCAGCACCATTGATCTACAGGGACCATTTTAGCTGGGAGGAGTGGAGGTGGGCAGAGGGGCTGTGGTCATTTGAAGTTTGTGGTTAATAGTGTATTGAGGTTTTCGTAGTAAAGTAAAGCTATGGTCAACTGAAATATTTTAGGCAATTAATTTGTATCTTAATGACTAATTGAACATTTTTTGCTTACTTAAAGGCTAATCACAATATCTGTTTTGTCTTCATCCTAAATTTTAGAAAATTTTCTAAGCTGTGCTAATATATTTTTCTTCCTTATTAAATATAGGGTTTTTTGTAATTGGAGCATTTGTGATTCCTTAAGGTCATTATTGCAAACATGAATAATCATTTAAACACACTAGAATACCATCAAATGAATAGTTTTAAGCTGAATATATAATTGATACAAATTTATTTTTAATAAACACTTGTACCTTTTGTTTCTGTAACTGGCTATTTTTTATCAGTTGGAATGTAGGATAAGCATCTGCTAATTAGGAGGTTCTGGCTAGTTGAGATTCTGGTTAATTGAATTTTTTAAGCACATAACCAGAGAACAGAAGTATGTCATTGTATAGGTTCACTTGTGAGACATCTCAATAACTATATCAAGAGAATATTGTTATTATGAACAACCTATTGGGAACACAGATTGTATTCTTTATATAGAATGCTTTGTTGTAATACGAGTACTTTTCTGAGTATACTTGTACAAATATTAATTGAATATTTACAGGGAGAGTTCTGTGCTAGACACATTGGGGACACAAAACTGAATTAGTCATCAAACTACACTCAAGCACCTTAGAGTATAAGGGAAGAGATGAAGTGCGCACAGATCCATGTGGTACACATTCTCTATGGTTACCTAAATACTTCAGGGTCTATTTTCAAGTTTAAAAAACGTATTTATCCATAAGCACAATCTATAGCTGATTCTCTGTATTATGCTACCAAAATATTTTCTAAAATGTTCTTCAAAGTCATAGGTACTGTTATTGGCATTGTCTGGCATAGGCCAGAACCCTTCATGTTGCAAAATAATTATAAAAATGTAAAATATTTTAACATGAAGTAAATATAAAACAAAATCTAGAAAAGACCTCATATCAGATCATTTAGGCTAAAGGAATTTTCCGTAACCACCTGTTTATGTGTTAGCCCACTTAAATTCAGGATATTGTAGTGCATGTTGAGGACATAAATTGCATTAGGAGAGCAGAATGAAACTGGGATGCTCCATGGTCTCTGACTAGATATTTAGGGATAAAATCTTTGTGCTCAGTACCACTTTCATCAACCTGTTTGTCAGAAAAGAGCCTCTAATGGGTTTATTTTCCCCATTTACATTTATCATATAACAATTTTTCAAGTTCTTTTAAATACCTTTTGGTGTGTTTTTTAAGGCAGAAAATCGCCCTATTTGTGAAGGTTGATAGTTGGGTGAATCCATTGCGGAAATCTTATAATTATTGTATATAGGGCTCACGTTAGACTTTGATGAAATAATTTATGGGTACAGTCCTAAACTGATCATTGTCATTGAGAGGCTCCTGAGAATAAAATGAAATCATAGGTGACTCTTTCCAACATTTGAAAAAACACCTTATTCTAAAAAAATAGACACACAGATACGTCTTACTCATACTTCATCTCGAGGTTTTCATCTTTCTTTAATCTCTTTTCTTAATGTCCCAAGGTATATCCATTCATGTTGATGGCGACCTTTGCATAAAGTTTCGTGCCTGCTGTGCTCGGAAGTCAACAAATACCAAATTTTGCCTCTGGGCTTATCATTGCCATATCTTGCTTTCCTCTTTCTAATCCAGAAGTTATTTTTTGATCTTGGAGGAATTCATTGCTGTCTTTGTTTAACTTTTATTTGATCACTTGAGATTTGATATTGTCTTCTTGGACTTTCATGTTTAAATTTATGCGGCAGAAATTGATACATTTTTTTCTTTTAGGATTCATGATAAATTTTAAGTATCTTTGCTTATATCGCACCTTTCTTTCGTGGGGACTTTATGAGCAAAAAAAAAAAAAGGGGGCTTTCAGATTGTTGTTGTTTTTTTCTCTTTCATGCCTTTATCTGCTACGCTATGAGAAAGGATCAGAGAGAACTATAAATAAATTCCTTCACCTTGTTCCATAGTCATTTGTAACTGCTACCCAGAAAAAGAACTACTGTATGGCAGGATACATATAGGGAGAGATTCCTGTGTAAAATCATAATGCTTTCAGAAGGTAATGTCCTCTTTTCCTCAACTATCACTTGGCACTTAGGCCTCCCTTTATGTACATTATCTTTCCTAGTAAGTGACCTGGCTTGTCAACTATCTAATAAACTCTTTGAGAACCTAATATTCTTTGGGCATTCTGTGAATGTAACATGTTTGATGAAAATAGCAATATAATTTCACAAGTAGGACTTCGAAGACCCTGACAGGGCACACAAAAGGTCAGCCACCTCTCCAAAATAGGGACAGGGTTCTTTTAGTTCAAAACCATATGGCCTCTTTGGATGACTCAATCCTAGAATAGAAATTATATTTTATTTATGCATCTTGGACAGATAAATTCTATAGGGCTTGAGAAAGAAAAACAGGTTTGTGTGTCTGCGTGGGTCATTTTCTCTGTGAATTACATTTCATTTTATCTTCCGTTGAATGTTTCTTAGAGATTTCTGTTGGTAGTAATAGTTTCAGTAGGAGATAAAATGTACTATTAGGTTTGTTTTTACAAAACCCAGACTTCAGAGACTGACACACACTCTTAATAGCACCTGTTTTCTGCCTCTGGGAAATATCTGTTTTAATGAATAATATCTGCTTGCAGTAAACAGTGTCTGTGGTGTCAGTATGGGATGCCCAGGGCTGATTCATCTTTCTTGAGCTGAC